TATGCGTAGGCATTTCCCCATGTAAAAAAAAAAAAAAAAAGGGCGTCCCTTGCCGACTACACTGCAATCCATGGATTGCTACACCTGCTACCAACTTGGAACAAAGAAGACTACTTATTACTCCTTTGAGGACTAAAATGGAATGCCTCACACCCTGTAAATATACTGGCCATCCTGGCTTCGCGCTGTTTGCTGCACCACAGTACCTTTTTATGGCTTGTTCGCAAAACACAAACATGTCTCTAATATGCTTGTATTATGAAATATTTATATTTTATAAGCAAAAACCTAGCTTGAAATTACTCAATAGATTTTGATGACGGCAAAACTTATTCAAATCAATTAAGTAATTTTAAAGTTTTAAACAAATACACAAACAGATACAAGTATATGTAACATTAGTTTTTATATAATACATATAATTTGTTCCATGTTTATGCCATTGCTTCTGCAAAAAAGAAAGCTGTTAATTAGTGTGTACGAGGTAATATAACTAGTTAAGTTGTGACATAACAGTCACACAAATTTTTTACAAATTTAAACTATGCTCACCGGCACGGAAACTTGGCCAAGCGGTTATCTCGCGATAGCAAAAGCTTTAAGTGTTTCTGATGAATGTTTGTTATGCAAGTATGTCAAAAAATGTTTACCCTCAAGTTCAAAAGGGTAATTCATTATGTTTAAGTGCACCATGACGAATTCTTTAATTTTTAGTTGAATCGGGTCATTTGAGCGACTAAGTTCACATTTTAAATTTGTGTGTTGTGAAAAGTTTACTGTAAGGTTATTCAATTATCGTAATCTTGTGTCTTAATTAAATAACTAAAGGTGCTTTAAAGCCAATAAAAATGCCATTAACACCAGCACAAGTTGCACAAGCAGTAGCATTAATTGACCAAGGGCTGACACAGCGTGAAGTTGCTATTGTGCTTAACATACCACGGTCCTCAATGCAGTATTCACTGAAACGATACCAGGAGACAGGCCGCTACACCCGCAGGCCAGGCAGTGGGGGCGTAAGGTGCACATCGGCCCGGGACGATCGTTTTATTGTTATGGAGATTTTGAGAAACCGCTACCTGACCGCTGTTGAGATACGCCAGCGGCTCCAAATCGCAAGAGGCGTTAATGTTAGTGAGCGTACAGTGAGAAGACGAATGGAGGAAGTGAATTTAAAAGCTCGTAGACCAGCACGAGGTCCAGAACTTCTCAGACAGCACCGAGTAACCCGACTTCAGTTCGCAAGAGAACATGTCAATTGGACCCACGAGCAATGGGCTAGAGTGTTGTTCACAGATGAGTGTCGAATAGCTTTATGTGCTCCAGACGGTCGAGAACGAGTGTGGAGAAAAAGAGGAGAGAGGTTTCTACCCATTACCACCACCCAAACTGTGAGTTTCCATGGAGGCTCAATAATGGTATGGGGAGGTGTAAGTTCCGACGCACGTACAGAGTTGGTCATCGTCGATAATCGGCTTACAGTTATCGATACATCGAGGAAGTTCTTCAGGAGCACGTAATGCCTTATTCGGGATTCATTGGACACGACCAATTCCTCCTCATGCACGATAATGCACGCCCGCACGTCGCACATTGTGTAGAGGAATATCTGGAAGAGGTTGGAATACAAAAATTACAGTGGCCAGCTCGTAGCCCGGACTTAAATCCAATTGAGCATGTATGGGGTATGCTCAAAAGGAAGATAAAGTCCAGCTCCAAACCGTCACAAACTCTAAATGAGCTCCGAAATGCAGCGCTGGCCGCTTGGGACAGCATACCGCAAGTTGATGTCAGAAACATCATTCAAAGCATGCCAGATCGAATGCAAGCGGTTATCAGGGCTAGAGGAGGAAACACCCGACATTAAAACTGATAGACAATAAAGAAACAGACTTAATTTTTAACTTTGTAGTGTTTTTAAAGTGACAATGGAAAGATGTTAATTTTAGTGAAAACATGTTATCTTGAAAAGAAAAATTTCGGTGAAGTAAACATTAAATTTCTATGTTCTAAAACCATTAGAGACACTTATTGAATGCATCTACCCTTAATTTACTGTTAAAAAAACGTTTCAGTGCAAATAATCATCAAATTCACGAGTGGCCAAGTTTCCGTGCCGGTGAGTGTATTACAAATGGAAAAACCATCTTCAAAGAACTAAAAAAATATAACCATCGAAACAAGTTGATGCGGTAAAGAAATATTCGCCCGTAAGCCATACAGTTGTCAACTTAATAACTTGTGAGATGAACCTTTTTTGTCGTACTCTGAGTGAATTCACAAAGACAGCATTGTTTGTAATTTGTTACAAAAATTAAACAGTTCGAGAGCTACACTATCGCATTAGGTATTAATCCAAAAATTTGTACTTATTAAATAACAACAAATGTCTGAGATGACTTCAACTTAAACTTTGCCATAGGGCTGCCAAGCGGAATCCTATGAAGAATTTTATAACAAATTTGTGTTGTCATCAAGTGGAATAAGCTACCGCAAATTGTGATTGATGCTCTTACATTGAATGCCTTCAAGAACAGATTGGATAAAATCTCCAAACATTAAGACACACACGCATCAGCTTTTTAGCTGCTAGTGTGTTTATGTATAAATAAAAAAAAATCCTGTAATAACTGTAAGTTTCAGAAATAAATAAATAAAAAAAACATGTTGGCAGACTTCGAATGTCCTCTAAATATTTTATACCCCAGATATGAAGGTTTTCTCACAATGTTTTCCGCCACCACTGAACTACCCAACTACTATGGTTACACAGTAAAGTTAAAGCTAAAAACCAATAAAATTCATCAGAAGTAAAATGTAATATTATCTTTACTATTTAATATTTTTATCTATGTGTACACAATGTAATATTTTGTAGACCAACCCTAATGAGGGAGGACATAATAATTTTATCTTATATCCATGAATAAATAGACTAACATATTAAACTCTTATTTAACGTCTAAACAAGAATATTATAAGGAAGTAAAACAAGTATTAAGTATAAGGTAATTATTATTAAAAATCTACAATCTGACTGCAGTGGTCTAATAAAAATCACATTTCTATAAAATAGTAATCTAGGCCCATAATATTGGCCTTCTCTAAAGATTTCCACAAAACATGGTCCTGAGGCACCTCCAGCCATTGACTTCTTGCATGTTTTACTAGACTGTCACTATCTGGTGGGTGTCTCTATGTCACGAAATTTAGTAACAATCAGTCTAATCAAAAACCTCTAGAAATATTTCTATTTCATTCCAATTCCTTACATGTTGTGTACAAGGTACAAGCAATTGTCGAGTATTAACAACTTAAAGAAGGTATTTGAATTATTTTATCCAAAAATTACTTTTTGTGAGCTTAGTCAGTAGATATATCTACTTCCGGATGAATATCCTGCATTGAAAATGTTTTTGAATCAAGTATATGACTATTCAAAAACTGTATAACCTATCAGTAGACAGTAGTTTTAATAAATACACCAAACAATTTTCTTTACCCAACCCAAATACCAAAAGCTTAAAATATACTTAAAACTAGAAATTTAATACTACTAACTAGTATAATATATTTAGAAAGTCTCCAAACAAATTATACTAGCAATTTTTTTTTTGTATGGGTGATATGTGGATTCCACAACAGCCCAACCTACTGGGACCAACTTTGCCTATAACCTTCACAGAAGTGCAAGCAATATGTGGACAAAGTTTTACTGCATTCTGATGAATGGTATGGCACATAAATTACAAACAAACAAACATTAATTTTTATATATTAAATAGGCTGTAAAATCATTATAAAATTTCTAGGATGCACATCTACAATCTAAATTGTACTTTATAAAAAGAGTACTACCTATTAAAATGCAAAAAGTGATACATTTTCGCATTTATTTACAAATAAATAAATTATTGAATATAAAATATGTCAAAAATTCAAAGTTAAATTATGAATTGAATAAAAGAAAAGAAAGACTAGACTAGAATTTCATTCACGAAGGCCAGTCTCAATGTAGACTAGCCATTTGGGCAGCACAGGAGGATTATAGTGCCCAAGTGTATGCGCTACCACAAATGTATTCTCATAGTTCGATGAGACGATAATATGATACAACGAGAGAGCGATCAGGTGCAAGACCTACAGCTTAACGTGCTTTTCGAGGCCCCGAACGTGGGTGAAACTCCGCCTACTTCCTGACTCTTTGCTACGGAGAATTTTTTGACAGAAAAACACAAAAACTTTTTATGGATTCTGTGAGGCAGAACTAAAAAAGCTTTAGGTAGTCTTTACATAAACCATAGATATGGATGATGTTATATCTGGATGAAACATATCTAGATAAACTTTGGAAGTTAAACATTATTCCAAATACGGAATTTCATTGTAATAAAAAATTGTGTAGTGTGTAAGAATATCCACTGCCCCATGTCGTCCGGTGGGTGCCGTAAGAGGCGACAGAGCGTGACAATACAGGAGACGTATAATATATTCTATCTTAGTAATTCACAAATAACAACAAGTAGTAATCAGTAAAATAAAAAATTATACTAGTTTAAAAAGGAATTATGTGCTTCCGCACAAAGCTAGCTTCTAAATAGACTTCTAAAAATAAGATTTAACTATCACAAAGTTTTGTACAAAAACTTTTCATAGTTAATTTTTTAATCATACCAAAAAATTATTCACTGATTTTTTAGTATCAAAAAAATGAATAGTAATAGTAGGAGTAATGAATGTAGGAATAAGATTAATAAGTTACCAGAACAACAAGAGATTGAGAAATTATTTCGATTTTCAAAAGGCCAAGCATGAATATGTAGTACAAGGTAAAAGAAAGTATATTGTATTCAAGGTATGGCGTAATATTTTACATCACTCACACTAATCTTAGCTTTAGGCACATTTATTATAGTAATGCGCGTATCAATATTATTATAACATATGTGAATATTTTTCTGTTTATGAAGCAAATATAATAATACACAAATAAACCTCACCTCACATCTAAGCCTCTGGATACTTCCTTTTTTCCGGTCATACCAGTAAACCAAACCCACATTTGTGCCTAAAGCTATATATTCATTAACTGCATCAACACATGTTAAGCACAGTTCACTGGAGAATATGCCAGTTTGAATACGGGCCGGAATTAAATTTAAAATATGGGAGCAAGGTGTCCATTCTCGAACAAACCCCTCTTCTGCACCGCTAGTGACTTCCATTTTATATGTAAGTTTCTGTAGTCTTCATTAATAAAGTAAATAATTTATTATACACATAACCATGGCGTTTTAAGCTGTGGATAAATATTTTGTTAAATCAAATATTCAGGTAAAGCAACATCCGACTTTCCAATATGACCACAGATTTGACCACAACCAAACACAAACTAACTAGTGGATTCTAGATTTGACGTATGACATATGTCTTAGGCTCTATATAGTAGACCGTAGACAGAGAAACCTAGGTTTCTCTGTCGCTCTATATCTATACGACTCTAAATCTATTCCAAGGAACCATAGAGATATTCGCATCCGTTGTACTGTAATTAGTTTCTGGCATCCGCCTATTCGTTATTCGTTGCAGTTATGGAGTGTAGAAGTAAGGAGTACCAACTCCCATAGGAGAATTGTTGAAAAAGTGTCCATCTGTAAGCAGTTAATAACAGTTCAAAAACTCTCCAATACAGCGCTGGAGTAGCTATGGGGTATGTCAAATTACCGTAAAATACGTTGAGAGTGATTTTAAAACTAAAAATAATGAAAGCAATAAAATAATTATGGTAAAAAGAATTATGGTGAAAGTCTGTGCAATAAAAAATTATAAAAAGTTCTTTATAATTTAGACTGTACCTACAGTGGCGCCACCCTTATTTAACGCTTTACTACGGACACTTTTTATACAGAGTCTGTACTCCTTACCTGTACACTCCATAGACTGATGCAGTATTATATTATATTAGTCTAATAATAATAATGTCCTCCAGACCGAATTTCGGCCACGGTGGCCTGCCTTAACGGAGACAAGCCATCGGCGCAGGACAGGATTATAGTGCCCAAGTGTATGTGCAAGCACAGGTGCACTCTCTATTCCCTCACTCTCATAATCCGATGGGACGGTAAACCGACACGACTGGAGAGAGATCAGGCGCAGAACCAACGGCTTTACGTGCTTCCCGAGGCACGGGGATGAGTCACCACAAACTTTTTGGACTTCGGGCAACTACTGAGAATATCTTGACGGAAAAATTCAATAATTAATTTTTTGGCATGACCCGGGATTCGAACCCAGGACCTCATGATCAGCAATCGCAGTACAACAACCACTAGACCAACGAGGCATAGAACGACAACAACGAGCAATAGACGATTGACAACAGAATACCTTTGTAGAAATATGGTAGAAAGTAAAAACTGCTATTGTCGTTGAAGACTTTTTATCCTTATTTACTATTATTGCATTTGGGGTAAGGTGTAGGGAGATTTCCTTAAGCAGGCGTAAGAAAAGTGAAACATTTTATGAAAGTACTAATGAAAGACCTATGCAAACGCCGATAAATGGCGATGAATCTATTAAAAAACGACAAACCCATAGCCCACATTCTGGTAATGGAAAACTATGCCCGATAATCCATCTACTGAGAGACTAATATGTGAATCAATTTTTCAAGGTCTACCAATTTAGTACATTATTTTGAAGAATTACATGAGTTGTAAGCAGAAGAAATCTGTGTAGAACATGCTGTTTTCCTACTAATCATGTGAACCACTATTAACAGTACCGCTCTAAGTATTAATTCAATCTCATAGTTTGTCCACGGTATTCATTTGAATAGTGGACATAGGTTTTAACCTACGCCAATAAGCCCGTGCTAGGTCTTCATGTATCTAACTACTGTCAGCTGTCTTTCGCTGGTAGTCGATTTATCCAGTAAGATATATTTCCATAATATGTATGCCTAAGTGCGGTAAAAATATTCTAGGTCGTTGCATATCGCTACGAAGCGCTCTGATGCTTTGTAGTGGCGGCGTAAGATAATACTTTATCCCACTTTATTCCGTAGATGTGCTTAGAGTTGACAGAGGGAAACTGAAAAAGGAGATGTGTAGCTTACATCTTCCTAACAACTACGCAAATAATAAAATAAACTGCGGTTGCGGTCAATAAGCCAAAATATGAGGGAGTCAATAAGCCAAAATCTGGGATACTTTTCACTTCTGTGACAAAAGGATCGGTCTATTACCCGTTCAAACTGTAGAGATAGAAGACTATATTGATAGGATATCATCAATTCTATATTACCAAACAGATTATGATAAAACTATTATCGCTGGCGGGACTAATGTAGCCGCATCTTTGGCTTAAAGTGCACTAACATCGGTTAACAAAAACCCAACACTAAATGTATTTGGAATGAATCTTTAACACCATATCATTAAACATAAAAGTAAAAACTACAGAATTACGTTGATCGACTTTACTGGCAGGAGTTCCACAGGGACTAATAAAATTGTAAAAATATATACAATGTTATATCACTTCTTTCCTTTGACTGTAGTACAGATTAATTACAGGAAAGAACGTAGCGTTCAGTAATATCAAATGTAGGTTCCTTTAAACAGATACATTTTTATTGTCGTAGGCCCTTGAGTATTAAACCAAAGGAGACGGCATTGCAAGGCATACCCCTCTGTAAAAGGTACGAAAGCCCAACTCACAGCCGTTATATAAAACTAGTTGCTCCGCGTCGTGCCTCATTATGCAAGTGATCGTGCCAGTCAATTGAGCTCCGATAAAAATGCCGAATCGCAGTGTATTTTCATGCAAAAACAATTAAAACCATGAAATCTATAAAAGGACAACGTGGCTTTTTATCTGTGAATAATGTCAACATAATCTTATCGTTAAAACTCGTATTTTCTGAATATTTTCGTAAAATACCAAGTGTTGCTAGCATAGTTCATGAAATGAAAAATAATCGATTTTAAAATAAATATAATTTACTACACAAAATAAATATATTAATGAAAATTTATTTCATATCAACTAAATCACTTTGTGATGTATAATAATTATTACATTAAAATGTGTAGTGGATTTTGTCAAATGATTCAAATATTCAGCTCAATCCCTACACGATTCTGAATATATATAAATTACTTTTTATTATTGTGTATTTATTTTATTTCATTGATATTTATGTATATTTATCTTTTCATTTTTATTTATAATTATATATTTATAGTACCCAACCAGATGAGAAAACTATATAGATACCCCCCATAATAAGTAAAAATAGCTTATTCAGTAAATACATAAATACCGGGAATGAGGTCTCCTTTTAAGTATAAAAACTTGTGTTAGGAGACTCTACTCTTCCATAGCACTTACATTACTATTTGCATGATCTTTACATAATAATTAACTATAAAATTAAATTTCAAAAAAATATTCACTCCAAAGGTATATATAGGTATATATATGCAGGTGCGCGCGCGCTTGTGTGTGTATGTGTGTGTGTGTGTGTGTGTGTGTGTTGTATGGGTGTGTATGTGTTTGTGTGAGTGAGTGAAATAACCATTCGGTTAGAATATATTTGCAATTATGGTAATTTAGGTGATGAATTTTTATGCTTTCATTAATGGCGTTGAGAGTCGTCTAGAGTCGCTGACTGTTTTATATATTGCACCCTAGCTAAAACAGTTTTTAACAGCGACAGCTGTAGCCACTACGTTTTTCCTTCTTTTGGCTACAATACAACGGTTAAACTTTATACTTTTATGCAGTCTCGGGAATAAACATAAGATGTAAGGTTTCCTAATGCTAAGTACATTACTTTTGACATAAACATCTTATGTAGGGAATCTTTTTGGTTTAAAATGCATAATTTTTAATAAATTTGTCTGTGCCCTTTCAACTTCTAGTAGGTTCGTATAGCTCCACCCCATACAGGAATACAATATACTAAGATAGATTGAGCCAAAGCAATATGTACTTGGTTTAGCAAATTTTTCGTCTTAGTGTTTTAAATGTTCATGTAAGTTTCCTAAATCTATTCATGATTAATTCAATGTGTCTGTGCCATGACAAAACATATATCTAGTTTTAAGAGTTTGTAAAGTAAGTAAGTTAGTGTTCAGCCGCTTAGAGATCCTAACAGGTCTTCTTCAGCAGATCCACGAACAGAATCCCAGGAGTCATCAGTAAATATTACTGCAGTATCATCTGCATAGGAGATTTTGATGAATCATATTTTATACCCCAAGTTATCAATAAAATAAGGTTAGTCGATAATGCTGTACCAACCTTGAACTTGTGGGAGGTAAAGTCTAGCTGTAATTATATCAAGAGATTAAATAGTTTTATTATTACCCTTGATACTAATATTATTCTTCTTGAAAATATTTTAGAATTTCGACAAGCTTACAATTATAACTTCTTATATTTACGCGAACACTACACATCATCATTATCATCATCATTACAGCCCTTCACAAGTTCACTGCTAAACAAAGGCCTCCTGCAAGGCATGTCACAAAGCCCGGTCCTGAGCCACCTGCATCCATCGACTTCCTGCATGTCTTACCAGGTCGTTACTCCATCTAGTGGGGGGTCGCCCTACACGTCGTACCTACCGGTACGAGGCTGCCACTCGAGAACCTTTCTTCGCCAACGGTTGTCGGTTCTTCGAGCTATATGGCCGGCCCATTGCCATTTCAACTTACTAATCCGTTAGGCTATGTCGGTCACTCTGGTTCTACTGCGGATTTCCTTATTTCTAAGTTTATCACGCAGAGAAACTCCGAGCATAGCCCTTTCCATCGGTTCCGTAGGTCATCACTGGCAACACGCACTGATTTTACAACTTAGTTTTCAGGTTATGAGGTATACCTAACGAGAAGATGTGTCGTAATTTCGCGAATGCTGCCCAGGCAAGTTGAATCCGTCGATTGACCTCTCGGTTGAAGTTGGACTTACCTAGTTGGACTATTCGCCTCAGGTAAACGTACTCGTCAATAACGTCGAGCTTAGTGCTCCCAACAACTACCGGCATAGGTGTGACATGGACATTAAACATGATCTTTGTTTTGTCCACGTTCATCTTAAGACCTATCTGTTGGGAGACACTATTAAGATCATTGAGCATAGTGCTTAAGCCCTCCAGCGATTCTGCCATAAGGACTATATCGTCGGCAATTCGAAGATGAGTGATGTACTCGTC